CCAGGACAGCACAGTGGTGTCAGGGTGCCCTGCCCGCCCTCCAGGAGAGCAGGGGCTCTGTCTGCTTCACTGCTTTTCTAGGATCTGGGAAGGTGCCTGGCACACAGTAGGTGCTCAGTGAATGTACTGAATAAATGAAGTTATATATAAACACAAGAAAATTGTATCCCAAGGAGGAAGGAGTTTGGGAATTAATAAAATGCTCTACATTAACAAAAGGAGGAAGACCTCATGATTATCTCAACAAATGTTGAAAATAATGTTAATAAACTTCAGTTTCTTTTTTAAAAAATAAAACAACTGAAAACCTGTTGACTCTTCATAAGGTCAGAAGGGATGGACATTTTGGTACCCCAAAAGAGGGGAGCTATGGCGGGCCTGGAGTGGACCAGCAGGAGCGTTCCTCACAGACTCAGGCAGCAGCACGTTGCCATGACGATGAGACAGCCTGCGCAGGAGTCAGGAAAATGAAGTGAGCTATAAACACCTGAAAAGAGAACACGAAATGGTCAGTATTTGCAGTTAATACATTGTCTGCCTAGAAAATCCATGGAAGCCAATAAAAACACACCACTAATAGAAGAGGAAGGTTGGATATATGATCGCCATTCAAAACTTAATAGTCTTCAGCACTAAAAGTAACCAACCAGAAACGGACCAGCAAAAAGGGCTATTCCCATTCACAACAGGATCACGGTGTCTTCTGAGTAAACCTGTGCTTGGCCGCTGCCTGTTTGAAGAACACTATGGAGGGGAAGGGAACAGCAGGATGGGGCAAAGCCTGGCCCATTATTGGATGGGAAGGCTGGCTGTGTGAAACCTGACAGGTTTTCTAAGTAACTAATTCACTGCAATCCCAATTTTTAATAAACTTTCCATGGATCCTGGAAACCGTATCCTGAAGGTACACAGTGTTTGGGGCAGCGTATGCTGCAAACAGAAGCCCACAAGCCTAGCAGCTGAAAGCGATCATGGAAACATCTGTCCCGTGTCTGCAGTGAGGGGCTTGGCAGCTGCGGAGCTGGGCAGCAGGGCCCCTCGAGGTCATTGTCAGATGTCAGGCAGAGCTACAGTCGTCCGAAGCTTGGCTGAGGCTGGGAACCTGTCACTCACATGGCTGGGAAGTCAGTGCCCAGCACAGGCAGGAGGCCTCAGCTCCTCGCCCACTGCTGGGCCTCTCCATGGGCCCTTGAGTGTCCTCAGTCACGGTGGCTGGCCACCGGCTTCCCCCAGGGCGAGTGCTCCAACACAGAGCAAGGAGGAGACTGCAGTGTCTTGTGAAAGTCACACCTGTCATTTCTGCAACATCCTGTTGGTTACACTGGTCATCCTATCTAATTTGGGATGGAAGACCAGGGCATAATGCAGGAGGCGACACTGGCCAGCTCCGTGAGTGAGACGGTCGTCACAGGCCCACCCGGTTCCCAGCAGGAGAAATAAAGGGCATCTGTACCGGGAACCATAGCAGTGAAACTGCAGTACACCAGAGACAGGTCTCGGAAGCAATCAGAGAGGACAGACGCACACCCTTCGACAGAGCAACAGTCAGACTGACCTCGACAACTTGGAAGCTTGATGGGGTGTGATGAGAAAACTGTCACCCTGGGAGTCTATGTCCTGCAGAAATACCTGCCAAGAAGAGAGCAAAATAAGTAAATAAAATGACAAATGGGAGAAAGAATTTGCCCCAGCTGACCCTCACCCCATTCTGAGAACAGACCTCATACAGCAGGAAAGTGACCTCAGATGGAATGAGGGTCACAAAGAAGGCAGTGTGTGAACAAGTTGAGACTCACGTGGACGAGTCCGGCCGTATGCAGACGTCGCATACACACGGAAAACCCAGGGTGAGTTGGCATGCACATCCACCATGGCACAGGTGTCAGGGGTGGCACCCGTGAGGAGGGCAAGTGTCCTAAAATCCTGTGCTGGGGGAGAAAATGATGGAGATGTGGTCACCTGCAGACTTTGATGAGTTTGCATATACACTGTGATGACACCAAAAAAAACCAAGAAGAGAACCACTTCCAAACCAGTGGGAGGGAGAGTGGGAAGGACACGACGCCTGATCTGTCCAGAAGAAAGAGGAGAGGCCAGAGAAAGACCCGTAAACAGATGAGACAAAGCACGAATACTGACACCAGAACTCAATAGGTGGACCAAACGCCCCAGGTGAAAGGTGGGCGTTGTGGGAGG